AATATAATGGTGAAGCTTTTTACAAATGGATGATGAGCAAAGAATACAGAGAATATGTCCATATTCCCAAATTCAATATTAGCTGCAGTGCTAATAGTCAGCTTGTTAGCTATAATCCTAGTGATCCCAATTATATTGATCAAAGCAACCTAATTAACAATCCTGAAGAAGTTATCAATGTTGAACGCAATCCTTATAGATATACAAAAAATTATATTATGTATATAGAAGAAGGTGGATTTTTTTTTTCACTATCTGATATTTACATCAAATATCCATTAAATGGAATATAGTGGAATAGAAATAGAAAAAAACACATATATAAATGTCTTTGACTCTAGACATAGCCGATTAGCTCGATCTGAACGAAAACTCCAATATAGTCTGTCAGGATATGATGCACCATTTATTTATGCCAAAGTTCATATGAAGTTTGTTGCAGTCACCAGGTTTTAGTTACAGCAAGTCGCACTATCTTTCTGCAGACTCTTCTTTATATTAATGGCAAAAAAGTCAGTAAGCAAGCACAGATTAAACTTGGTAACTTTATTCTTTTCGGGGTCAAAAATATTCTAAGGATGGTTACAGAAATTTAGCTCCTAGTGGTCAGGATTTAACATGGAACAGAAAAGTTTAAACTAGTAATAGCATCATATATTATAAATTATAAATTATAAATTATATAAGTTCTATTTTTTATTTGATTACCATTTAACATAAGCATGATAATAAATAAAATTCTTGATGCAAATCACAGTATTGAAAAGTTTTATATATATTTGGATCTGACTATGAAATATCATTCGCTTTCTGAGACTAGAATTTACTAGTATGAAAAAAAGTGATTTTCATAAACTCAGATCCTGTATTATTTTTTATGATTTCAAATACACTATGTGAAAAAGCAGTACTTTTGAACTCTTGACTCGATCATTTATGTGATAATTAATTATCTTAAATGACCGAACGAACTCTATAAAATTTACATTATCCAAAGTTGAAAATTATAACTCCAAATAATATGCTATTAATTAAATCCACATATATGCCTATTCTTTTTGTAGCCAAACCTACCTACTCTTCGAATATTCACTGCCTCCAATTGAATAAGTACTATATAACTAATAACGATAGCACTTATTTTAAATTTATTTGTCACACAACACTACATATAGTGATATACAATTAAAAGTATATTATTGGGTAGAGCCAAATGCCTATTAATAATCTAATCCCAAATATAGAAAATGTGTAATTGTTAGTTGATCTATCGTGTTCAATAATTGTGGTGCCGAATTTAGTAAACATGCAATTGTTTGTTTGTTAGTAATTATTATGATGCCAAATAAAAATTGTTAGTTGACTTGTGTTAAATTATTGCAATGCTGAGTCATTTATATTGTATATTGCTTCATATCAGATTGTTATGTACTAAATAAGAATAAGTCGTGATTTATAATAAAAGGGTT